CCCAAAGTCTCCTCTTGAGAGAAGAAAGGTACCCAGGGTCGTTAATGGGGACACCAAGGTATCTGTAAGACTCGCAGTTCTCAAGTGCTCGCCCATCTATATGATAATTGGGTGGTGGAATACCACATGGAATGAGGGCACGAGTTTTCTGTACAGAGATAAGGAGGCCACATTCCTCAGCTCTGGTAGCAAAAGCGTCGAGCAGAACTTGCATTCTAGGCTCGGAGGCAGCCTGTAAACATATATCATCAGCATAACAAATGACAGTGTCTTCATTATTAGTTGGAAGATCTTTAATAAGTTTATGCATCAGAACGTTGAACAACAAGGGGCTGAGGACCCCTCCTTGTGGAGTTCCCAGTTCAAAGTGTTTGCTCTCTGTGCTTTTAACACCATTAAACAAAACATATGCTGTTCGATTAGACAAATAGCCCTTTATCCATTTCAGTAATTTTCCTTGTATTCCCAGCTCGGCAAGCTGTTCCAGTATGATTTCTCTGTTTGCTGTATCAAAAGCTGCTGCTAGGTCGATGAAGACTGTTTGAGGGGAAGCTTCAATATGTGCGAAGTACTCAGCAAAACAGTGTTGTGTACTGAGCCCAGGCATAAATCCAAACAGTTGAGGTGACAGGTGCCCCTGTATACGATACATGAGTCGGTTAAGAACAATACGTTCAAGCACTTTACAAACACACGATGTTAGAGATATGGGTCTATAATTATCTGAGTGTGGTTTGGGGATGGGAACAATGACACTCTTTGTCCAAGCATCAGGTAATACTCCTTCACGTAAACTCATTCTGTACAACACTAATAATGGATTACCTGGTACGTGTGAGACTAATCTCAGTAGACTGTAAGTAATACCATCCTCTCCAGGAGCAGTTGATTTTCCCATCTTTAGTGCATGATTTAATTCCCATTCAGTTACATCATTAAGGTCTGACACGTCGATCGCTGTACAGGCGAGATTGATAGTTCGTTGTCTGTTGGGGCGTGTGTCATCAAGTTTGTGCTGTATGTTAATTGGGAGTGAGTTGTAGCTCGATGTTAGTGCCCATTGATCAAGGAGGATGTTTACTTGTTCTAGTGGGCTGTGGTGCAGCGGTTTGGTTGGGCTGCTTCTAGAGATTTTTCGTATCTTTTCCCAAACTTCAACAAGTGTTGTGTGCTCATTTATACTTTGTAGGAACTCTTCCCAATGTTTATTACGTATGACGTTGCTCATGTCTCTCACCTCTCTATTTGCAACTAGAAATGCATGCAAGTCACCTTGTGCTTTGGTTCGTTTGTACGTATCTCCAAGTTGCTTTACTCGTTCATGTTCTTTAACAAATACGGGGTCAAGGACCCACTTGGGTGGTGGTAGGTGTTGCCCACTTCTGCTAGGCTTACGACCTGTTCCCCAACACACCCATGTGTCATAGTAGGTAGTAATCGTATCAACGAGATCTCTGGAGAAGGCTTGTACATTCGTTATTGTGTAATCTTGATACCATTTTGATATACAATTAATAAAGTGGTCATGCAAGCCATATGAAATATTCATTTTCCGTCTCTGATGCCTATTAGGTACATCACACTGTACCTCATAGGAAGCAGAAACTGCATAGTGATCACTAACCAAGTGATTTACCAACGAACATTCCATCCTATCTTGCACAAGGTTTCTACCCATTACATAATCAAGTCTGCCTCCCAACAAATGAGTTTGGGTATCCGTAGTATACACAGTTAATCTGTTGTCATAAACATATTTTATAAATTTGCATCCATTATCGTTGTTAGTAATGTCTCCCAGCGTAATATGTCTAGCATTAAAATCTCCCATGTATATTGTCCCATGATTGTCTAGATCTGGGAACAATGCTACATTGAGTTTCTTGCTTCTGGCATATACGTTCAGGAATGAAAAGTGGCCTGCTGTAGTTTGTACATGAAAGTGATGGTACTGTGTGTGTACATTGTGTGACGTGCTCACAAGAATGTGCGGTAAATCACTTCTGACGTATGTTAATAGGCCTGTGGCGTTACTGTTATTATAGGATGCATACCCACTGATCTTTGGTGGGGTTTTGTTTATCATGTTGGACGTGTAGGGCTCCTGTATAGCAATAGAGTGTCAGGCACAGTTCTTCTGCTCCTTCCTTTAGTATCCAAGGGGAGATTCTATTTGGGCCTATAGCCTTTGTCACATCCAACTCTAGTAAACACATCCTTACTTCCCCGCTGGTAATCTCAAACTCTTCCAGTGGTTCCTGGTTACCTATTCCCTCTCTTATCTCTGGAATTTCTCCTTGCTCTAAGGTGAAGACCTCCTGGAATTTCTTATTCAGTTCCTCACACACTTTCTTGTCGTTTGTAGTGAATCCTTCTGACCCCTATCCTTAATTTCATAACCTGTTCCTTTACTGTTGTTTTTCTCCTGAAGTGGCTGTGCAGCAATTTAGGCTGAGTCTTTGCCTTGCTTGCGATGTCATTTTTATATTGTCTTTCTGCCTCTCTTCTCATCCTTACATATTCATTCCTGGCACTCTGGTAGCTTTCTCTGCTCTCAAGTGTCCTGTTATTCCTAGAGTTTCTTCATGCCCTTTTACTTTGCTGCTTAGCTAGCCTACATCTCTGATTAAACCATGGGTTTCTCATCTTCATTTCACTGGTTTCCTTTTGGAATGGGATAAACTTGTGTGCTGCTTCCTTGCACTTCTGCGTGATGTAGTCCATCATGTCTTGGGCCGTCTTTCCCCTGAGCTCTGTTTCCCATGTTATATCTGTTAGGAATTTTCTTATCTCCTCATAGTTTCCCTTTCGGAATGCCAGCCTTTTGTTTTCTGTACCCTTCCTCGAGTTCAATAACCCTTCTTCAATCAGGTACTCAAACGCCAGTACACTGTGGTCGCTCGTTCCTACTGGGCTCTCAAAGTCGATTTCCATTATGTCAGAGTCGTTCAGAGTGAAGACTAGGCCGAGTAAATAATACAAATTATAATAATAAAGCCTGTAAGTTATCATTGTATTTAGAAGATTTGAATTGTTTTAGTTGGGGGAGATTAGGATTGTTTTGGTTGTGAGGGATTAGGATTGTTTTGGTTGTGAGGGATTAGGATTGTTTTGGTTGTGAGGGATTAGGATTGTTTTGGTTGTGAGGGATTAGGATTGTTTTGGTTGTGAGGGATTAGGATTGATTTGGTTGTGAGGGATTAGGATTGCTTTGGTTGTGAGGGATTAGGATTGTTTTGGTTGTGAGGGATTAGGATTGTTTTGGTTGTGAGGGATTAGGATTGATTTGGTTGTGAGGGATTAGGATTGATTTGGTTGTGAGGGATTAGGATTGATTTGGTTGTGAGGGATTAGGATTGATTTGGTTGTGAGGGATTAGGATTGTTTTGGTTGTGAGGGATTAGGATTGTTTTGGTTGTGAGGGATTAGGATTGATTTGGTTGTGAGGGATTAGGATTGTTTTGGTTGTGAGGGATTAGGATTGTTTTGGTTGTGAGGGATTAGGATTGTTTTGGTTGTGAGGGATTAGGATTGTTTTGGTTGTGAGGGATTAGGATTGTTTTGGTTGTGAGGGATTAGGATTGATTTGGTTGTGAGGGATTAGGATTGCTTTGGTTGTGAGGGATTAGGATTGTTTTGGTTGTGAGGGATTAGGATTGTTTTGGTTGTGAGGGATTAGGATTGTTTTGGTTGTGAGGGATTAGGATTGATTTGGTTGTGAGGAATTAGGATTGTTTTGGTTGTGAGGGATTAGGAGTGTTTTGCTTGTGAGGGATTAGGATTGTTTTGGTTGTGAGGTATTAGGATTATTTTGGCTGTAAATGATTAGGATTTATTTGGTTGTGAGGGATTAGGATTGTTTTGGTTGTGAGGGATTATGATTGTTTTGTTTGTGAGGGATTAGGATTGTTTTGGTTGTGAGATATTAGGATTATTTTTGCTGTAAAGGATTAGGATTTATTTGGTTGTGAGATAATCAGGATAGTTTAGAAGTGAGGGCCTGAGGAAGGTGCCTCAGTACCAGGTAGAGACATGAGCTTCATTCAGTTTTCAGGGAAATTTATTGATTATTTTAAATATTTTGTGGCTAACTAGAAGCAAGTGTAAAAAATACAATAATTGTATATACTTTGATTTAATTTCTGAACATTTTGAGCAGCTTTCCGGATTTTAAGTTATTTAAATTACCATATTTAATTCTAGGGAGTTTTAATTATTTGAAGCAATTCCAGAAGATACACACATCCCGGATTCTTCCCTACTCTGTTTACCGTTAAGTTCTTGGGCCAAATGTGAGCTATAGAATCATTGCTGTTATAATTTTACTACTACTAACAATAATATTACCTCTGGTACAATTTGCTCAGTGATATATATATCACCTTAGTGTAATTTGTTTGTGTCTGTAAAGCAGGAGCGTAAAGTTGATGAAGTACTTCACCTGTACCAGAATGCACGAGGGTTATAAGTAAACACTTGGACTGGCTGTGGATTCAGTGGCATCCCAGGTTATATAACTTATGCACCACGTCGTGGTACAGGGGTAAGGTGCACGACTGGCAGTAACTAGAGTGCTGATTCGAATCACCTCAGTGCTCCAATTGATTCATCTAATTATCAATATTGCTATTATTGTTACTATTATTAATGCTATTATGTTCTTTGCTATCATAATTATTATTAAGGAACTAACTACAGTGCCGTAGTGCTGGAGTAAAAGTGAAAGAAGGACCCAATATATGTGTAAGTGAATTACAACCCAATTTTTTGGATGTAACCTGCATCCGTTCTCAAGGTGCTGTATACAGTGTTGAACACTATACAACACCATGAGAAAGGATGTAACTTACATCGAATATTAGTTTTTTTAATACACTTACACATATACTGGATCACACCTTCACCTTCATTATTATCATTATTACTATTACTATTATTATTACTACGATTATTTCTACTATTATTATTAGTAGTACTAATACCGAACCATGATGAAACAGGTGATGGAAAAAGTGAACAAATCGCTGGCGCGGTACGTGACCAAGCCCCTGGGCTCAGAGTTCAAGCAGCAGGCGCTCTTCTCACTCCTGGGGCCAGAGTTCACAACTCAATACTTCCCGTACCAAAAGTACGACCTCAAAAAACTGGTAGGTGAAGTCCAGGTACTGGTAGGTGAAGCACAGGTACTGGTAGGTGAAGCACAGGTACTGGTAGGTGAAGCTCAGGTACTGGTAGGTGAAGCACAGGTACTGGTAGGTCAAGCTCAGGTACTGGTAGGTCAAGCTCAGGTACTGGTAGGTCAAGCTCAGGTACTGGTAGGTCAAGCTCAGGTACTGGTAGGTCAAGCTCAGGTACTGGTAGGTCAAGCTCAGGTACTGGTAGGTCAAGCTCAGGTACTGGTAGTGAAGCACAGGTACTGGTAGGTGAAGCACAGGTACTGGTAGGTCAAGCTCAGGTACTGGTAGGTCAAGCTCAGGTACTGGTAGGTCAAGCTCAGGTACTGGTAGGTCAAGCTCAGGTACTGGTAGGTCAAGCTCAGGTACTGGTAGGTCAAGCTCAGGTACTGGTAGTGAAGCACAGGTACTGGTAGGTGAAGCACAGGTACGGGTAGGTGAAGCACAGGTACTGGTAGGTCAAGCTCATGTACTGGTAGGTCAAGCTCAGGTACTGGTAGGTCAAGCTCAGGTACTGGTAGGTCAAGCTCAGGTACTGGTAGGTCAAGCTCAGGTACTGGTAGGTGAAGCACAGGTACTGGTAGGTGAAGCACAGGTACTGGTAGGTGAAGCACAGGTACTGGTAGGTGAAGCTCAGGTACTGGTAGGTGAAGCCCAGGTACTGGTAGGTGAAGCCCAGGTACTGGTAGGTCAAGCTCAGGTACTGGTAGGTCAAGCTCAGGTACTGGTAGGTCAAGCTCAGGTACTGGTAGGTGAAGCTCAGGTACTGGTAGGTGAAGCACAGGTACTGGTAGGTCAAGCTCAGGTACTGGTAGGTCAAGCTCAGGTACTGGTAGGTCAAGCTCAGGTACTGCTAGGTGAAGCTCAGGTACTGGTAGGTGAAGTCCAGGTACTGGTAGGTGAAGTCCAGGTACTGGTAGGTCAAGCTCAGGTACTGGTAGGTGAAGTCCAGGTACTGGTAGGTCAAGCTCAGGTACTGGTAGGTGAAGCCCAGGTACTGGTAGGTGAAGTCCAGGTACTGGTAGGTCAAGCTCAGGTACTGGTAGGTCAAGCTCAGGTACTGGTAGGTGAAGCACAGGTACTGGTAGGTGAAGCCCAGGTACTGGTAGGTCAAGCTCAGGTACTGGTAGGTCAAGCTCAGGTACTGGTAGGTCAAGCTCAGGTACTGGTAGGTCAAGCTCAGGTACTGGTAGGTGAAGCACAGGTACTGGTAGGTCAAGCTCAGGTACTGGTAGGTCAAGCTCAGGTACTGGTAGGTCAAGCTCAGGTACTGGTAGGTCAAGCTCAGGTACTGGTAGGTCAAGCTCAGGTACTGGTAGGTCAAGCTCAGGTACTGGTAGGTGAAGCACAGGTACTGGTAGGTGAAGCACAGGTACGGGTAGGTGAAGCACAGGTACTGGTAGGTGAAGCACAGGTACGGGTAGGTGAAGCACAGGTACTGGTAGGTCAAGCTCAGGTACTGGTAGGTCAAGCTCAGGTACTGGTAGGTCAAGCTCAGGTACTGGTAGGTCAAGCTCAGGTACTGGTAGGTCAAGCTCAGGTACTGGTAGGTCAAGCTCAGGTACTGGTAGGTGAAGCACAGGTACTGGTAGGTGAAGCACAGGTACTGGTAGGTGAAGCACAGGTACTGGTAGGTGAAGCTCAGGTACTGGTAGGTGAAGCCCAGGTACTGGTAGGTGAAGCCCAGGTACTGGTAGGTCAAGCTCAGGTACTGGTAGCTCAAGCTCAGGTACTGGTAGGTCAAGCTCAGGTACTGGTAGGTCAAGCTCAGGTACTGGTAGGTGAAGCACAGGTACTGGTAGGTCAAGCTCAGGTACTGGTAGGTCAAGCTCAGGTACTGGTAGGTCAAGCTCAGGTACTGATAGGTGAAGCTCAGGTACTGGTAGGTGAAGTCCAGGTACTGGTAGGTGAAGTCCAGGTACTGGTAGGTCAAGCTCAGGTACTGGTAGGTGAAGTCCAGGTACTGGTAGGTCAAGCTCAGGTACTGGTAGGTGAAGCCCAGGTACTGGTAGGTGAAGTCCAGGTACGGTAGGTCAAGCTCAGGTACTGGTAGGTCAAGCTCAGGTACTGGTAGGTGAAGTCCAGGTACTGGTAGGTCAAGCTCAGGTACTGGTAGGTCAAGCTCAGGTACTGGTAGGTCAAGCTCAGGTACTGGTAGGTCAAGCTCAGGTACTGGTAGGTGAAGCACAGGTACTGGTAGGTGAAGCATAGGTACTGGTAGGTGAAGCACAGGTACTGGTAGGTCAAGCTCAGGTACTGGTAGGTCAAGCTCAGGTACTGGTAGGTCAAGCTCAGGTACTGGTAGGTCAAGCTCAGGTACTGGTAGGTGAAGTCCAGGTACTGGTAGGTAAAGCACAGGTACTGGTAGGTGAAGCTCAGGTACTGGTAGGTGAAGCTCAGGTACTGGTAGGTGAAGCACAGGTACTGGTAGGTGAAGTCCAGGTACTGGTAGGTGAAGCCCAGGTACTGGTAGGTCAAGCTCAGGTACTGGTAGGTCAAGCTCAGGTACTGGTAGGTCAAGCTCAGGTACTGGTAGGTCAAGCTCAGGTACTGGTAGGTGAAGCACAGGTACTGGTAGGTGAAGTCCAGGTACTGGTAGGTGAAGCACAGGTACTGGTAGGTGAAGCACAGGTACTGGTAGGTGAAGCACAGGTACTGGTAGGTCAAGCTCAGGTACTGGTAGGTCAAGCTCAGGTACTGGTAGGTCAAGCTCAGGTACTGGTAGGTGAAGCACAGGTACTGGTAGGTGAAGCACAGGTACTGGTAGGTGAAGCACAGGTACTGGTAGGTGAAGCACAGGTACTGGTAGTTGAAGCACAGGTACTGGTAGGTGAAGCACAGGTACTGGTAGGTGAAGCTCAGGTACTGGTAGGTCAAGCTCAGGTACTGGTAGGTCAAGCTCAGGTACTGGTAGGTGAAGCACAGGTACTGGTAGGTGAAGTCCAGGTACTGGTAGGTCAAGCTCAGGTACTGGTAGGTCAAGCACAGGTACTGGTAGGTCAAGCTCAGGTACTGGTAGGTCAAGCTCAGGTACTGGTAGGTGAAGCACAGGTACTGGTAGGTGAAGCACAGGTACTGGTAGGTCAAGCTCAGGTACTGGTAGGTCAAGCTCAGGTACTGGTAGATGAAGCCCAGGTACTGGTAGGTGAAACACAGGTACTGGTAGGTCAAGCTCAGGTACTGGTAGGTAAAGCTCAGGTACTGGTAGGTGAAGCACAGGTACTGGTAGGTGAAGCTCAGGTACTGGTAGGTGAAGTTCAGGTACTGGTAGGTGAAGCACAGGTACTGGTAGGTGAAGCACAGGTACTGGTAGGTGAAGCACAGGTACTGGTAGGTGAAGCTCAGGTACTGGTAGGTGAAGCACAGGTACTGGTAGGTGAAGCTCAGGTACTGGTAGGTGAAGCACTCGTCGTTATTGCTTCTTTCTTTTGACATCGAATTCTGTGTTTGAGGCTTAATGAACATACATTTTCTTTTTACACACATTAAATGTGTATGTATATATATATATATATATATATATATATATATATATATATAAAGTTACAGGATCCGTTTCCAATGTTGTTGTTACAGGATCCGTTACCGGACAGGCAGAAGGAGAAGTGCCTGACGGAAGCACGGGCCTTCCTCGACCAGAGCCTCGTTCGAGCCCTCGCTGTCAGTATTATTAACACCTGTGTGTGCACCCACTGCTGACACCCAAGTACACCCCTTGTGACATCCTATACTAGCACTCGCCTACACCCCTTGTTGACATCCCTATCACCACTGCTAACACATGTGTATCTCTTGCTGACACTGGTGTACATACCTGCTGACACTGGTGTACATACCTGCTGACACTGGTGTACATACCTGCTGACACTGGTGTACATACCTGCTGACACTGGTGTACATACCTACTGACACAGGTGAGTAGCGTAAATTAGGAATAGAACCGTGTGCAACACCTGAGCAGGTGATGCCAGGTGTGGCCACCTGCCCATGAATCGCACCCGGATCTAGTCCTAAGGAGGTCTGGGAGGCCTCCCAGTGCGCCCGGGAGTAGTCTCCTGGGACGTTCTGTGTCGCCAGTGATGAAAGGGGGATGAGAGGATAGGGGGGAGTATGTGTAGCAGGTGTGTGTATGTTTAAGTGTAAGTTGAAAGTGTATGTAATGAAGTCGTAGAGTTATACAGGTGAGCACGCTTAGTTAAAAAACATTGGAGGAGGAATAATATTCTGTGATTCAAAGTCTGCTCTTCAAGCAATCGAAAACTTCTCTTGGAAGATCGACAACAAGAACCTCATACTCCCAATTATAAATCACCTAATTGATGCACAGAGTAAAGGGTCTCGAATCTCCTTTGTATGGATACCTTCACACATAAATATAACCCATCATAATGAGACAGACATTGCAGCCAAATTAGCGTGTAACAAGTCCGAAGTTGAATTAGATCTAGGTATCCCCATCTCTGCTGTCAAAACTGTATTGGCCCAAACATTCAGATCTGATAGGAAAGAACTTACTGACTCCCAACGACCTGAAAGTACTAGTATAAAAAGCTATGATTTGTTCAGATCTGAAACCTACCTCTATGGACAGCACAAAACGTCCACTAGACTGTGCGACACAGTGGTTGCAAGGATCAGGTTGGGTTACCGTTACCTGTGACAGGTGGCTGCAGGTGACGGGTCTCCCAATTCTGAGCACTCCAGTTGCAAACTCTGTGAGCAGGAACTACGGCACGATCTCCCGCACTACATCACTGAATGCCCAGTTATTAGACCTTTCAGACCAGTTGGCATGAGGTACCTGGAGCATTGCAATTAATTACTTTATTCACTCTCGTATTCTTGAAGATATCCTCACAGTATACCCAAAATTTGCCAGTGCAGGCTATTAAACACATGGCTCTGTATGACTAACCATCCTGCGAGATGGGGACTTGTATTACTACTGCTACCTTATTCAATCTTTAGTTAATATCCTCAAAATGCATCCGGAGTCTGCCAGTGCAGACCGCTTATCACATGCCTCTGTATGACTAACCATCCTGTGTGATGGGGATTTCTTAGCATCACCTAGTTAGCTTTTTTGACACACTGTACTTCACTTCATATAGTCTAGGGTAGCTGCACTAATGCAGATGTACCTCATTTCTTAATAAAAAAAAAAAGAGATAATGTTAAACATAGGGAGGTCTAGAGTTCTGCTTGCTGGCAGCACCACATGACAATAGCAGGCCTAGGAGACCATGTAGAGTATGTGGTAAGGTTAGGTTAGGGATGCATGGGGGAAAAAGGTGGTGGGCAGATGGATGTCAGAAATGCGCTGGCGCGTTAGTGGTGAGCCAACAGCTGCCCCGCCACCTCTCTCTCTGTCTCTGTCTCTCTCTCTCTCTCTCTCTCTCTCTCTCTCTCTCTCTCTCTCTCTCTCTCTCTCTCTCTCTCTCTCTCTCTCTCTCTCTCTCTCTCTCTCTCTCCCTCTCCCTCTCCCTCTCCCTCTCTCTCTCTCTCTCTCTCTCTCTCTCTCTCTCTCTCTCTCTCTCTCTCTCTCTCTCCTCTCTCTCTCCCCTCTCTCCCTCTCTCTCCCTCTCTCCTCTCTCCCACTCTCTCTCTCCCACTCTCTCTCTCTCTCTCTCTCTCTCTCTCTCTCTCCTCTCTCTCTCTCTCTCTCTCTCTCTCTCTCTCCTCTCTCTCTCTCTCTCTCTCTCTCTCTCTCTCTCTCTCTCTCTCTCTCTCTCTCTCTCTCTCTCTCTCTCTCTCTCTCTCTCTCTCTCTCTCTCTCTCTCTCTCTCTCTCTCTCTCTCTCTCTCTCTCTCTCTCTCTCTCTCTCTCTCTCTCTCTCTCTCTCTCTCTCTCTCTCTCTCTCTCCCCCCTTCTCTCTCTCTCTCTCTCTCTCTCTCTCTCTCTCTGCTTCCCTCCCCCTCCCCCTCCCCCTCCCTCCCTCCCTCCCTCCCTCCCTCCCTCCCCTATGTCGGTCTCCAGCAGAAGAAAGACAGACAGTTACCAGACATTACACACAGACACGTACACTTGTCAATCTGAAGGTGTTACCCGAGTTTCTACCCACAGTACCCACAGCTCAACAGCATATGGAAGAGGGCTTTCTCACACGCATTACACAGAACTTAATTAAACAATATATATCTCAGCGTACATCTGCTACTATTTTTTTCATATTATCCGAAGGCAGGACGTGGTCTAGTGCTCTCATTAGTTTCAGTGGACAAGCTGAGCCAGAGACATGTTCACGATGTGGCAGGTATGCCGTTAGTGAACTGTGCGGGCGGTGTACAAATAGATATGTTTCCCTGTAGGTTATGTTACGTTACAAGACATAAAACACCCAGTAACAATGATTTGTGTGTGTTATAATACGATTAAAAGCTTCCTACGATGGTTGTTATTCTTCAAAACATGTTATTTGGATAAAAGAACGATGTTTTCCTTGTTCCGTTATGTTACGTTACACTATGTTACAAGAATAACACTAATATTATTTGGTAGCTGTTATATTGAAGACGGTCTAAACAGATTTTTACTTTAAAAATGGTATTTGGACTCAGAAATTGATGTTTCCCTGTTATGTTACGTTATGTTAAAAGAAAACACTAATATTTTTTGGTGACTTATAATGAAGATGGTCTAAGACCAACTTTACATTTAAAAAATTCTGTTTGGTGCTAAGAAATAGATGTTTTCATGTTATGTTACATTATGCTACATTATGTTATAAGAATAACATTAATAGTGAATTGGAGAGAGTTATATCTTGATGGGAGTTTCCTCCTGGTGATTGCACAAGGATGAATGCTTGGAGAGTCGTTATGATAAGAAAGACGCAAGGTTTTAAGGTTATAAAATTGAATGTTCTCTTGTACTGTAGATCGATCATCCTACACATCACGGATGATGTGTAGGATGAACGATAGGATGAACGACAGTATAGCTATGACCCTGATACACTCTTCCCTCAACGAGATACAAAACCTTTATATGTTATGGATTGAGATTTTTTAGGAGTTGGTTGTCTGATTGACTACGATTTTTTTTTTACTTTCGCAGAATAAACAGATTGATGTGACCCTTCCTTAATCTGGACATTGGTACATCAATTTCTCTGCTTAATATATATATATATATATATATATATATATATATATATATATATATATATATAGTCACGGTAAATTCTCTAGGAAGAGATTCGGCCTGCTCCATCATCACCTATCCTACCATATCACGTCTATATATTAAAGAACTGCAACCACAACAACAACAACAACAACTACTTTCCAGACGTCTAGACAATACCACCAGTCTACCTACCCCACTGCCCGTCACCCCACCTCAGGTGGGTCGCTGGGAGCTCACACCATCTCAAACAAGCAGTTAAACGTGAGCCGGTTCATAGTTATCAAAGTCATCAGCGCCATCTGGACGGCCATCATCGTATATATATATTGGGCTACCTAGCCCACTATGATTCAGATTACTCCTGAGTGCTCTATTGAGTAGACCTGTTGACATATCTTGGTATGGTAACAGAGTTATTCAGTCTGGCTCACAGTATTCTCGCACCATATTTTATTTTGCATATTAACGTAACGTAAATTTGATTGTCTGTTTATCTTGTTCATTTTGTATACTTAGAATATAGCCTAGTTTTGGATATTATTTTATTTTCATGTTACTTATTTAAGTCATTTGTTTAAGTAAACTATTTTGAATGTTTTTTCTCTTTTGTGCTTTATCCTACAGCTGTCACACAGTGAAGATTACACAGCAGTTTAATTTTTTTTTTTTTTTTGCTTTTGTTTTTATTTTGTGACTGGCATTCCATCTGCTTAGAGAGACTGCGATACCATCTATTTTTCTCGTCACAATATATATATATATATATATATATATATATATATATATATATATATATATATATATATATATATATATATATATATATATATATATATATATATATATATATATATATATATATATATATATATATATATATATATATGTGTGTGTGTGTTTCCAAGTTTCCCAAAGAAAAATACAGACACTCAGATGGAGCTATGGGGAGGAGATGACTTAAGGAATTGACAGGTAATGGATGAGATAGCTGGTGAATGAAAGGGGAGGAGCTTGGAGCGGGGGCTGTGAGCGGATGTGACGGCGTATAAGAGATGACTGTTCCCTGAACGGGCCAGTATAGGCCGCTCCTTTGATGGCTGTAATGGTGGGGGGGGGGGGCTGCTGCTTGGAGGAGGGCCTGCCGCAGGATGAGCACACCTCCTGAAGATACCATTTCTATAGACGAATCATTCAGATATGTAACTCCTTGAATAGCTTACCTGAAAGTCCCGTGGAACAACCTACCCAAAAGTAGGCCAAGGAGCACCCTGCCCGTTAACCTCATAGTAATAATGGGGTGAGGGGGGGGGGGTGGGGAGAGGTTAGGGGAGAGTGGGGTGAGGTGAGGTGAAAGTATGAGGAAGGTCATGGGGTTGATCTAAAATTACATATATTCATTTAATAATGGATACACCTACCTGCTGCTGCCCTGGGTGAGGAAAGGCTCACGTGTGAGTCCCTATCTCCCCCACCCCTCCTATTCACTCACGTCAGGCACACCCCACACAGATAGCTCTTCCCTGATTAATACAAGAATAAAATTATATAAATGTGTTTACTTTCCCTAACTATTTATTGTTCTGAATGTGGAGAGAAATGCATGTAGTCTGTTGCCCCCGGAGGGTTGACAAGTGATTGATGACTGCCAGGGGGGGGGGTGAGGGAAAGAGTGATGGGGGGGGGGGCTAGAGCGCAGGTAGTAATTGAGAGAGGTCCTCCTTCCCACCTGCACAGTTCATTAACGGCACGCCCGCCACATTTTTTTTTTGAGATATATACAAGAGTTGTTACATTCTTGTACAACCACTAGTACGCGTAGCGTTTCGGGCAGGTCCCTGGAATACGATCCCCGCCGCGAAGAATCGTTTTTTCATCCAAGTACACATTTTACTGTTGCGTTAAACAGAGGCTACAGTTAAGGAATTGCGCCCAGTAAATCCTCCCCGGCCAGGATACGAACCCATGACATAGCGCTCGCGGAACGCCAGGCGAGTGTCTTCATCGTGAACATGTGAACATGTCTCTGGCTCAGCTTGTCCACTGAAACTAATGAGAGCACTAGACCACATCCTGCCTTGGGATAATACGAAAAAAAGTAGCAGATGTACGCTGAGATATATATTGCTTAATTAAGTGCTGTGTAATGCGTGTGAGAAAGCCCTCTTCCATATGCTGTTGAGCTGTGGGTACTGAGGGTAGAAATTCGGGTAACACCTTCAGATTGACAAGTCTACGTGTCTGCGTGTAATGTCTGGTAACTGTCTGTCTTTCTTTTGCTGGAGACCGACATAGGGGAGAGAGAGAGAGAAGGGGAGGTGGTGGGCAGGTGTTGGCTCACCACACTCATGCCAGCGTGTGTCTGACATCCATCCGCCCAACCTCTTTTTTCCCACATATCCCTAACCTAACCTTATCTCACACTCTACCCGGTCTCCTTGGCCTGCTGTTGTCATGTGGTGCTGCCAGCAAGCAGAACTCTAGAAATCCCTATGCTTAACATTATCTCTTTTTTTTTTTTTTTTTATTAAGTTATGAGGTACATCTGCATTAGTGCAGCTACCCTCGACTATATGAAGTGGAGTACAGTGTGTCAAAAAAGCTAACTAGGTGATGCTATAAAATCCCCATCACACAGGATGGTTAGTCATACAGAGGCATGTGATAAGCGGTCTGCACTGGCAGACTCCGGATGCATTTTGAGGATATCAACAACACAAGATTGAATAAGGTAGCAGTGGTAATACAAGTCCCTAAGCGTGCTCACCTGTATAACTCTACGACTTCATTACATACACTTTCAACTTACACTTAAACATACACACACCTGCTACACATACTCCCCCCTGTCCTCTCATCCCCCTTTACAATACAATACAATTTTATTTAGGTAAGGTACATACATACAATAAATATTTACAAGGATTGTTTAACTTATAGGTATAGCTAGTACATACAATGCCTAAAGCCACTATTACGCAAAGCGTTTCGGGCATGATAAACTTAAATGACAAGCTTAATACTAATTGAGCATAATGAGTAGAATGAAAACAAGAAATGAAAACATAGATGAAAAAGCAGCACAAATACAATTATGTCGACAAACAGCGCTCTTTAAAGAAAAAAACAGACATTGGTTGACAATAGAAGGGTAAGGTAGGTTACAGGGAATTTATTAGGTATAGCTTCGCTTTTAACTTAAACTGGTTGAGAGAGGTACAGTCTTTAACATGGTTGGGAAGGTTATTCCACATTCTGAGCCCCTTGATTTGTAGAGCATTTCTAGTTTGATTAAGTCGTACTCTAGGAATATCAAAACTGTATTTATTTCTGGTGTGATGCTCATGGGTTCTGATACAACCTTCTATGAAGCTTTTGAGATCAGGATTGGCATTATAGTTTAGCGTTTTATATATGTATAATACACATGAGAGAGTGTGCAGTGACTTAATGTCTAACATATTCAGAGATTTAAGTAGGGGTACCAAGTGATGTCTGGGGCCAGAATTGGATATTGTCCTAATAGCAGCTTTGTGTTGAGTAATTAGAGGACGTAAGTGATTTTGGGTAGTAGAGCCCCAAGCACAAATACCATAGTTGAGATATGGATAGATAAGGGAGTAATAGAGAGTCACCAGGGCAGGGCGTGGTACATAATATCTGATCTTAGAAAGAATGCCCACAGTTTTTGAAACTTTTTTTGATATGTTTAGAATGTGTCCCTGGAAATTAAGCTTGTGGTCAATGAGAATGCCAAGGAATTGCCATCTAATTTGTTACAAATTTGGGTATTGTTTATTTTGAGATTTATTTGATTAGAGGATTTATTGCCAAACAGAATATAGAAGGTTTTGTCAATGTTAAGGGTGAGTTTGTTGGCAGTTAGCCACAGATGGACTTTATTTAGCTCAGTATTTACTGTGGCATTTAGAGCAAGGGGATCAGGACTGGAGTAAATGAAGGTTGTGTCGTCAGCAAATAGAATTGGTTTGAGGTGTTGGGAGGCATTTGGAAGGTCATTAATGTAGATAATGTAATACTTTCATCACTGGCGACACAGAACGTCCCAGGAGACTACTCCTGGGCGCATGGGTAGGGAGGAGGTGCTCCCACTCCCCCTTAGGGACTAGATCCAGGTGCAATTCCAGGGCAGGTGGCCACACCTGGGACCCTGATCAGGTATTGTGCACGGTTCTAGTCCTAATTTACGCTACTCCGGTGTACACACCTACCGACACTGGCGTACACATCTGATATGACACCCATTTGAATCCCTGTTAACGGCTATGTATACTCTCTGACATTCGTGTGGAGACTTAAAAACATGCATGCAAATCTTTGTACTACCGTCCATGTGTACATGGAAGGTAGATGTACTACCTTCCATGTGTACATCATCTATTGATACCTACGTATATTAAACTCTGCTGATCCCTACAAATATGCAACATCCTAACATCCTAAGTATCTACACCTTTGGTGATATCCACATGTGCACATAAATTTTGATACCTAAATATGCACACATTATTGATTTATAATGCCCATGTTCCACTCTGCTCTTGCTCATACAAGTGTTGAGTCATTATGATTGCGTGAATATACGTATGTATACAATGAAATCAAGAGGTGCTTCAGTCCCGCCCATGTAACCACTGAATGATGAAGATTAAGCCGCCCAAGAGGTGGCACAGGCATGAATAGCCCCGTAAGTGATAGATTTTTTTGGAGTGAATGTGATCTTTGGATGTAACCACTGTTACGGGGTTTTATATATAAGTTGCTTAAGATGTATCCCAACGTCCCTCATCTGGTGTTTGTGCAGGACTGTGGGTACCCTGATGACGTGGCCAACTACCAGAAGGATGATGAACTGGGGCGCTTCCTTCAAGAAGTCCGTAACAGCTTCCATGAGGGTCTCAGAACACGCACAGCTGTCGTCATGTTCCATGAGGTGAGAAGGTCTTGACTATGTTCCGTAAGGTGGAAGGTCTTGACTAAGTTCCGTGAGGAGGAAGGTCTTGACTATGTTCCGTGAGGTGGAAGGTCTTGACTAAGTTCCGTGAGGTGGAAGGTCTTGACTATGTTCCGTGAGGTGGAAGGTCTTGACTATGTTCCGTGAGGTGGACGGTCTTGACTAAGTTCCGTGAGGTGGAAGGTCTTGACTATGTTCCGTGAGGTGGAAGGTCTTGACTAAGTTCCGTGAGGTAGAAGGTCTTGACTATGTTCCGTGAGGTGGAAGGTCTTGACTATGTTCTATGAGGTTAGAGGGTCTTGAGAGTCACTAAAATGCTGGTTAAAGTCCGCACATGACTCCAAATTATGTTATTATTTCCACAGCTGTGTAACCTGTCAAAACACGGGTACAACCTGTCAGGACATCTGCGTAATATCAGCACATTTGATAATTTCCTTACATGTACTGATTCCTACAATGCGTCACCCTTGTCACTAAGAATTGTATGTAACTATTCTTTCTTGACAAACTAATACAAGTGAGCACTCGCCAGCATTTAAGTGGTTATAATTAAGTACTTCACTAAATACCGTTTGACACCACTGACAGTATAATTATATTATATATACATAAGAACATAAGAATGAGGGCAACTGCAGAAGGCCTATTGGCCCATACGAGGCAGCTCCTATTTATATCCACCCAATCCCATTCCTATATATGTCTAACCTACACTTCAAACAATCAAGGGATCCAACTTCTATTATGTTACGCGGTAATTGGTTCCACAACCCTGTTACCGAACCAGTATTTTCCCAGGTCTTTCCTAAATCTAAACTTATCAAATTTAAACCCATTGTTTCGTGTTCTGTCTTGTGTTGATACTTTTAATACCCTGGCTATTACTATCATATTTAATAAATCATTAGAGTCAGGCAGAATGCCAGTCATGAAAGGTTGCTAATGTGGTACCATTTTTTAAGAAAGGAGATTGATCACTTGAGTGGGGTACTTTATGACTTCAACCGTGCACAACACCTGTGCAGGTGAGCCAATTAGGCCCCTGCAGAGGTGTTGCACACGTCCGTAGTCAATGGGTTCAGGGGGGGGGGGTTCCCAGGGAGGCGCGTGCATCGTCAGGAGAGGTGTTGTTGGGTGGCGGTGTGAGGCTCGGTGCGCCAGGTCGTTGTCATGTGGGGAGCTGTGAGTCATTGGGGTAAAACTGTAAGTATAGGAACAGGTGAGCAGAAGTAGTAGTTGTCTTGAATGTCTTGTAAGCTGAATGTGTATGAGTATGTAACATATCCGCATGCTATGTGGATATATATAGTTAAATAAAAGTATGTAGGAAAGAGAAGGATATGTTGAGGGCGTAGAGGGGGCCCTCCCATGGTAAGACAAGCCTAAGAGGCCGAGTATTTTTAGGTGTACGGTTAGGGAAGGGCGTGTGAAGCAGGAGAGGGGGGAGGGGGAGTGAAGAGGGGCCGGCCACCCATGGAGGGCTTTGGCTGGCAATGGTAGTGTTCCTCACACTCTCGTGTTTAAACATTATGTCTGTGATATGTAGGAAAGTTAAGATGTTGGCAGAAAGGACAGATAACAGAGTGAAGTGTGTATATTTTACAAAAAAACGCGTAACTTTTTCACCATCCCCTCCCGCCGCCGCTATCGCCTCCGCCTCTGCTTCCTAGGCCTTCAACACAGTGTGTAAGAGGAGACTTTAGTTAGTTGTCATTCACGACTGTTCACAGTGAGATGTCTCGGCGGGTACTGAGCCGTAGGAGAGATGTAACCACAATAATATTTGTTAACAAAGCCCCCCTCTCCCTCCCTTCCCCTCCCCGCCCCTTCAGCCTAGACCCGCTATGTAGTGCCGCATACCTACCACATGGCTCATGTTACACACCGCACAGTGCATGAGCCATACCACATACCACATGGGTGGGGGAGCAGGTGTTCGAGCCGCCTAACCCTTTGATAGTTGTGCTGTGAGTGAGGTAAATGAGTGGGAGGGGGGAGTATTATGTCAACAATACCCCCCACCATAGCCCCTCGCACACTCCCTCCAGCACCTTACACTAAATGGTGGCACTTAAATGCATGTCTCAGTATTCTGAACAAATAAGTAGTTAAGGGGGGTTCTTATCTTGAGATGATTTCGGGGCTTAGCATCCCCGCGGCTTAGTCCTCGACCTGGCCTCCTTATTTTTTGTTACACATCCCCAGGAAGCAGCCCGTAGCAGCTGTCTAACGTTCAGGTACCTATTTACTGTTAGGTACATGGGGCATCAGAGTGAAAGAAACATTTTGCCCATTTGTCTCCGCCTCCACCGGGGATCGAACCCGGAACCTCAGGACTACGAATCCGAAGCGTTGTTCACTCAGCTGTCAGGTGCCCTAAAGCCCATTTTATATATAATTTTATTCTTTATTAAACACTAAGACATATACAACGACGACAATAATAATAATATTAAAAAAGTGCAAACATCGTTCTTTCCTCAAATAACTTTAAGAGTAATGAGCCTCGTCGTATACTAGTCTTCAATCTTCTTATAACAAATCAAATCAATGCTAGTGTGTGTTTTACACCTCATAACGTAACAGGACCCCCCTTTCCCCTCACCTGCTTCACGCGCGCTTTCCTAGCCATACACCTAATAATACTCGGCCTCCTAGGTATGCCTTCCCATGGGAGGGCCTCCCCTCTCCACCCTCAACATATCCTTCTCTTTCCTACATACTTTTATTTAACTATATATATCAACATGCTTAACTCTACGTTACATACTCATACACATTCATCTTACAACTACTACTCATGCTCACCTGTTCCTATACTTACACTTTTACCCCAACGACTCACAACCCCCCCCACATGACAACGACCTGGCGCGCCGAGCCACACACCGCGACCCACTAACACCTCTCCTGACGACGCATGTGCGCCTCCGGGGACCCCCCCCCCCTCCTAACCTATTATGACTATGGACGTGTGCAACACCTCTGCAGGGGCCTAATTGGCTCACCTGCACAGGTGTTGCGCACGGTTGTAGTCATAAAGTACCCTATATACTTGCATCAAACTATCGGCCGATTAGCTTAACGTCTATTATGGAAAGTTACTTGAATCGATACTTGAAAATACCATTCGTCATCATCTTTAAAAACAAATTAATAAATGACTCACAACATGGAAAATCCCCATGAAAATGGTTCATTAATGACATCAAATCAGGTTTAAGACCTTCAGTAATTTTTATTACATATACATATCATTACAGAATGATAAAATATGATTACTATTATTTTCCACCAGATCAACACCAAGTGTTTATACTGTTAATCACATCATATACCCGCCGCTCAGTCTATGTACATTATTGTGATCCTGACACGGACTGAGCGTCACCGGAGCAACAGCAAGATATGAAATGCTACCTGAATCTTTATCTCCACAGCCATACAAATATGCAAATTAAACTGCAATGAAAGGAAATTATTTTTCATCTGAGAATGCTTTCGGATTTACAGCCTTTCTCAGGGATGACGAGACAGTAAAATGCCTACAGTCGCTGACGAAGGCTGTAAACATGAAAGCATTCTCGTGTGAAAAATTATTTCCTTTCATTGTGGCCTAATTTGTATTCTTTGGAGATCGGTGTTGCGATATTTTGTGCCCATATACAAATATGAAAATCTTCGTCAATATTAAATATTTCTGAAAGTACTGACTGTGTATGCTTTAATGAATCACGTTGACTACAAAATATGAATATAATAACAGCTCTTCTAACTAAACACCAGAACAGACAGACATGAGGATGGTCTTTTTGTATATGCCATCATTAATAGAGACTTGGATAGTTTTTGTTTCTTCATATATGAAACATGAGACGCTTCCTCTTAACAGGAGACTGAGAAGGAACGACAAAAGAGGAATGAAGACGACGACTACGAGGATGATATGCAGCGAGCCAAGAAAAAGGCCCTGAAGGCACAGCCACGGACCAAACCCTCCGACGTGGCAGGGAATGCACTGATGGCCTTTCTGGCCTATGACAGCACCAAGAAGAGTGACTTTATAAAGAGGTAGGCATGGGATGGGTGGGAACACACACACACACACACTATAATAGGATTACATAACTGTTAAAAGGCCCAGATCATTTAGCGCCAAACAATGCAGAGGACCATTAACAGTGAGTGTGCCACCATCCTTTCTTTCACCTTCTGACGCTGCAAGTGGTGCCCCTCCTTGCAGGCTCAGGGAGCGACGCCTGGCACTTCCAAACAACCTTCGTCAGTACTTCTGGTGGGAGTTCCTGGTAGAACGAGAGGCCGCCAAGCTCAAGGTTAAGTCGGGCCAGGACGCGAGGGCATTGATGAAGGAGAACTTTGAGACCACGCTGACGAAGGAGATGAAGAGCCAGAACGTAGAGAGAGCCGTTCGCAGCAACAACTGGCAAACCATTGACGGCGGTGTCATTGAGGTATCTCTATGCTTGCTGATTTTAACCATTTTTAATTTACACCGTTATTGACGATGATCGTACTGAGGTCAGATTCCGATCCCTGCCTCTTCTCTCTCACTTGGGACCTGTCATTTGGGATGCAATAAATTATAGCAGCATCCTTTGCCTACGGCCGACCGTCAGTGATATCACAGCTTTATTTGTATTTCCTCTCATACCGTAACACATAATTATTCTTAATTTCGCATGAAAACTTACCCCAATGATATTAATTATACTAGAGAAATAAGGCTAATAAATAACGATCTATTGTAAAAATTCTTTACTGTAGTACGAGTTCCTGTTAATATCTGAACAGCTTTGTCTCGCTCCCCTGCCAGGCGTATGACACCAACCCTACACTTAAGAGCCTCAGTAATCACGAACACATGATGCAGTCAGCACGCGCCCTCAACCTATTTATCATCAGTTCTAAGATATTCTCTGTTGCCAACATATACTGGCTTCTCCCCATCCAACAGATCTTCCAGAAAGGGCCAAATGATTCAGATGGTTAGTAATACCGAGAATATGTTAACAAGATTGTAGTATTAGTTTACAGTCATTATACATGCATGTACTTTCATTACTATATGAATGTGTATGTATTGGTAATATAAACTTGATTGGTACAAGCCTATAGACGTACACCCCATTTTCTTTCACCTAGATATCTTTAGTAATTATAATTGGAACAAAGAAGTCACATTGAGGTGATCAATGAGAAAGTCAGTAGGAACCAGGAGGAGATTCGAACCTGCACACTGGGTACTCCAAGGCACATGCCTTGGACCACTTTTCCACGACATGGTCAAAAGCTTTGTAACCTGGGATTCGACTGAATCCTCTAAAGGTCCTGAGGCTTCCACTGAATCCAAGTGCCAAGTGCATTTGAAGGGAAGTGTTGTTGGTAGAACTAGATCACAGCCAGAGTGCGTGAGGACAATGTGGGAAACCCTGACCGGGTTGCAGTGGAAGCCTCTGGACTCCTAGAGGATTCAGTTGAATCCTCCTGTGGTTGCAATCCTTTTGACCATGTCGTGGTGAAGTGGTCTAAGCCGTGTGCCTGGGAATACCCAATATGCAGGTTCGATTCCTCCTCATGGCTCCTCTGATTTTCTCAATAGTATTTTGTATTTATATAACATACATACAGTGGAGTATTCATAAGTACATAATGTATAATATATAAAGCCACTAATACTCAGAACGTTTCGGGCAGTAAGTGGACTACGGCCACAAATCACCACTTTTCACACTGCTCGTTCTTTGCTTATTTTTTTAGGATAATGTAAACTGATAAGAGATTATAAATTACTGATTTTATTAAATACTTTATTAATTAAAGAATGTGAAAAATAAAGACGAATTTAAATTTAAAAATTATAAATATAATTTAAAGAGTAATAAGAGAAGTGGAACAATAATAGGAAGAGGGAGGCTAGCGTGACACTACACTCCCCAGAGTCCCACATGGTGCACCTGGCGATGGTGCTGGAGCTGCTCACCCGACACTGTCAGCTCCAGCAGAAGGACGTGTTCACTCTCGCCGAGGAGGTCATGAAAACTGTGAAGGCAAACGACCCTCAGTACAGCGGCTACATCACTACCTGCCTTAACAATAGTGCCTCCCGCATCAATCTCAAGGTAGTGTTCTTTACCAAACAGGTCACAGGCTGCAACTAGTCAGGTCCGAGGGCCACGTTTCAGATCTTATAAATGCGTTGTCATGACGGGTTTGGTCGATGGTCATGGATCTAGTCACATAAGAAGTCATAAGATGCGACTGACGGTGCCACCTATAAATTACTACTTCCTCAGGACTTTCCACCGGAGGTACTGATACAGGGAACGAAGGCGTCGGTGAAGCAGTATCAGGAGCTGCAGGAACAAGGCTCCAACGACATGAAGCCCAAGCACCTAGCCCTCTTCACTAACCCAGGGATCTTCGTAAGGAAGTGGATCGCTCAGGTCAGGAGAGACAGATAGGAAATAGTGACTTGTGACAGGGGTTTTGAGCCAGTAGTGTGACATATTGTGGGTGAAGTGTGACCACGGATGCACGGTAATGTTAGCAAAACAAATTGTAAGCTACCTCTTTCTTGCATGTGGCGGCGCAACAGGGGTTTGTGGGTGTGGTGAGCATAACATCCGGGCTGTGGATGTGGGACCAGCTCTTCCTCGATGGGTGGAATAAGACGACAATGCGGAACATGGCTGTAGCTATTCTCATTCTCATCAAGCCGTGGATGATGAGAGCGAATACGTACGCTGACGCCCGCAAAGTGAGTCTTTTTATCTGACTTGACAGCTCTTCAGACATATTTTTTTTTCCCCTCCCCCTCTACTCTTGCTGACGGCTTCCTGTTTTCATGTTGGCATGTCACTGAATCATCGCGTTACAGTTCGGTATCTAAGTAATCAGTCAGTCAGTCAGGTAACCAAGTAACAATTGTTGCAGGTCCTGCTGAACGAACCAGGCAAGCTGTATCTGAGTGATTTACGGCGCGCCCTTGAGCACCTGGAGTCTGGTGGCGCCTATGCCGATTTCCCAGACAATAAGAACTTCCTCGAACCAATAGTACCAAAGGTGAGCTTGCTCTCCTCCAGAATATAGGTGGATGATTGGTTAAGGTGTGTGTTTTTCAGTATATAGGTGAATGATTGTAGTGTTTATTTTCCAGCACATTGGTGGGTGATTGCAGTTTGTGTTTTCCAGTGCACAGATGAGTAAGGTGTATATTTCCAGTGCACAGGTCAGTGAGGTGTATATTTCCAGTACACAGGTGAGTGAGGTGTATATTTCCAGTACATAGGTAGGTGACTGAGATCCCACGGGAAGGCATGTACATATATATATTGTTACGAAGCCCCCCTTCCTATTTCTCTCCAAATCCGGCTTTACGAGTCATATCTTCTAACCCTGCTGATTCCCTGAGGTACAGGGAGTCTTTTGATATATGAGGCGACCAGATTGATCACCTAATATGGGAGAAATTTGTGTTTCTAAGTTTGTGGGTAAGGGGGAAAGTTGCGCCCTTGGTACAAACAAAATGGCGCCCCCTGTTTGCAAATCCACCATTTTGTGGACGACGCCAGCTGGCTGGCGATTGGCTGCCCGACCAATCACGGTCCGCCGTGACGTCACAGAGAGCCCCTGGCGGCGCCGGCGGAGGCGGCGCTCACAGCTGATCTGACTGTGGACGCGAGCGGTTGTGCGTCGAATAGCTCTCGAGGTTGGAGGCTCTGGGAGCCACGTTCAGTAGATTATAAGCAGCCATCACAGTCCACCATCAGTGCTAAAGACCCGGTGCTCCTGGGGAGCAAGAAGAAGCCTAGTTTAGTGGGCAAAGAAGTGCCAAAACTTGAGGTATCGGTCGGTGACAACTCGGGAGGGTGTAACCTGACGCCCGTGGTTCTGGTTGGTGTGGCAAGTAGGACTGCAGTGACTGGGTCACATCTGCTGAGGACGTTGGAGGGAAGACACCATTCCTAGGTCAAGGAGAAATGCCTTTGTGGAAGGAACGTGTGTATACAGTGACTGGCTCAGTGGCCACTGGATGGACCAGGATTGGAATACCTGAACTTAAGGAGTGGCACAGAGAAGACGCAATTGCTTCACGACACCTGAGGCCCTGCAACACGCAACTGGATCATCAAGGAGTGGTCCAGGAACCGTGTGAACCTCACATCATCGAGGGACAGGCGTCGTGAGCAGGAATGTTGAAGGTAGATAATTTTTTCCCTCCCATTACCCCCTTGTTGATTAGGCTAGTTAGGCCACGAAATATCTATATATGGTATCAGTATATTTATGGTACATTAGAATTAGGATAGACTGCAGGGCAGCTAGTATTTACGACTGTTAAGGAAGACAGTGTGTGGACGACGTGGCAGTTGGTGAGGATGGTCTTCCCACAACCAGACCATCACCAGATAAGTCTTAACAAAAAACACGGAAATCATCGATAGATACAGCGATAGTAGGCGGCTTGATATCTGCGAGGCACTACACATTAAGAAGTCAACACCAGCAATCAACAGCCAATTGATGCACAACTGATGTAATATTATACCCACTTCAAGACTCCGCACCAATATAGAAGCATCAAGAAATATGGGCCAATAGGCCCTTTGCAGTTACTTCCATTCTTCCCTTTAACTTAACCCAATATTATACCCACAGTTTCGTGTTCTGTCTTATGTTGAAAGTTTGTTTTCACCTCATCCAAAACTGTTGTAACATATCACCTCACCCAAATGCAGGTATAAAATGAAAGCTGTTTAAACTCTGTTTAGTGTTTGCAGGTTATAGTTGTGTGTGTGTAAACTAAAGTCTTTGAAAATGTAATAAGTTATTACGAAACGCGTTCAAGTGTCGTGTCAGACTAGAAATAAAAATGAATTTTGGAGAATTGATTTTTCAATTATCATCGACAGTGAAAAGAAACATAAGAAATATTGTGAAAAATCGTGTTAGAATTATTAATCTTACTTTTTCGGTCATATTTAATATATATATATATATATATATATATATATATATATATATATATATATATATATATATATATATATATATATATATATATATATATATATATATGTGTCGTACCTAGTAGCCAGAATGCACTTCTCAGTCTACTATGCAAGGCCCGATTTGCCTAATAAGCCAAGTTTTCATGAATTGTTTTTTGACTACCTAACCTAACCTAACTTTCTCGGCTACCTAACCTAACCTAACCTATAAAGATAGGTTAGGTTAGGTTAGGTAGGGTTGGTTAGGTTCTGTCATATATCTACGTTAATTTTAACTCCAATAAAAAAAAATTGACCTCATACATAATGAAATGGGTAGCTTTATCATTTCATAAGAAAAAAAATTGAGAAAATATATTAATTAAGGAAAACTTTGCTTATTAGGCAAATCGGGCCTTGCATAGTAGGCTGAGAAGTGCGTTCTGGCTACTAGGTATGACATATATATATATATATATATATATATATATATATATATATATATATATATATATATATATATATACACAAGACTCCCACTACACGGAATGCGACACAAAATGGGGTACCATGGCAGACCCAGCACTCAGACCAACCATGTTGAAAGCCAAAAACCAATCCAACTTGGACAGCTCCATTTTGGACAAAGAAACCACAGCTTTGCTGGAGGCAGTAACAACCCCCAGTGATCATGCACACCTCACAGCTGTGCAGGTTCCCCATGCAGGGGACTTCCTTTTGACAGTCCCTATGTCTGCAACAGGCACACGTCTTGATCCGCAGGAGCTCCGTATTGCAGTCGTTCTCCGCCTTGCTGCCCTATCAACACTGTTCACAGGTGTATTTGCGGCAAGGTAGAGGCATACGAATATGGACTGCATGGCCTGCACTGTGGAAAATCTGGCGGTTGGCATTCTAGATACGATGAAGTCAATGACATCATTAAAAGGAGCTTTGCATCTGCCCAGTGTCCAGCAGAGAGAGAGAACCCTGCAATCTATTGAACCGTAACTCTGCTATCTTTGCCGGCCGACCAGATGGAATTACACTACGCCCTTAAAAGGGTGGCAGACGGTTGGCGTGGGATTGCACTTGCGTATCTACCCTGGCAACCACATACATTGACCTCTCTGTCGGCCAAGCAGGAGCCGCAGCGACACACAGACAAAAAGACAAGTCAACCAAGAACAGGAAAACAGATCACCGATACAACTTCGTTCCAATAGGATCTAAGACCCCTAGATCCATGGGGAGGGAGCACAAGAAGGTTTCTTAAGGATCTTGGTTCCAGGCTCATTAACACTACCAGAGACCCTTAAGTGACAAGTTTTCTCTTCCAGCGGCTCACTGTAGCGATCCAGAGGGGAAATGCCCGCTGCATCCTCGGTTCCTGCTCGGCGTCGGAGGAGTTTGAAGAAATCTACAGCCTAGATTTAACAAACTTCCCTTTATTTCCTCTTAATGTGCTCTTTTTGTGAACAATCAGATATGTAACTGTGTAACCTTGTATAATAGAGTATAATAAAGTGTACAACATAAAAAAGGGGGTGGTAGGAGAAGTGAACACTCATATGTATCCAGAATTAAATGGCAAGTTTTTCTCTAAATGCTCTGAGTTCTCCCTTCTTTGAGGCTGTGGGTCCCTATAATTGCACCAAAGGTGGTACTCCCTTATATATATATATATATATATATATATATATATATATATATATATATATATATATATATATCTAACTGAAAACTCACACCCCAGAAGTGACTCGAACCCATACTCCCAGAAGCAACGCAACTGGTATGTACAAGACGCCTTAATCCACTTGACCATCACGACCGGACATAATGAGGTGATAGCCGAGGCTATATGAACCACCCCACCGCCGGCACTCGGATAGTTATCTTGGGCATAGCATTTTACCAAATCACCTCATTCTTTGGGGCACACGTGAGGAACACAAATGCGAACAAGCCTGAATGGTCCCCAGGACATATGCAACTGAAAACTCACACCCCAGAAGTGACTCGAACCCATACTCCCAGAAGCAACGCAACTGGTATGTACAAGACGCCTTAATCCACTTGACCATCACGACCGGACATAATGAGGTGATAGCCGAGGCTATATGAACCACCCCACCGCCGGCACTCGGATAGTTATCTTGGGCATAGCATTTTACCAAATCACCTCATTCTTTGGGGCACACGTGAGGAACACAAATGCGAACAAGCCTGAATGGTCCCCAGGACATATGCAACTGAAAACTCACACCCCAGAAGTGACTCGAACCCATACTCCCAGAAGCAACGCAACTGGTATGTACAAGACGCCTTAATCCACTTGACCATCACGACCGGACATAATGTGAGTTTTCAGTTGCATATGTCCTGGGGACCATTCAGGCTTGTTCGCATTTGTGTTCCTCACGTGTGCCCCAAAGAATGAGGTGATTTGGTAAAATGCTATGCCCAAGATAACTATCCGAGTGCCGGCGGTGGGGTGGTTCATATAGCCTCGGCTATCACCTCATTATGTCCGGTCGTGATGGTCAAGTGGATTAAGGCGTCTTGTACATACCAGTTGCGTTGCTTCTGGGAGTATGGGTTCGAGTCACTTCTGGGGTGTGAGTTTTCAGTTGCATATGTCCTGGGGACCATTCAGGCTTGTTCGCATTTGTGTTCCTCACGTGTGCCCCAAAGAATGAGGTGATTTGGTAAAATGCTATGCCCAAGATAACTATCCGAGTGCCGGCGGTGGGGTGGTTCATATAGCCTCGGCTATCACCTCATTATGTCCGGTCGTGATGGTCAAGTGGATTAAGGCGTCTTGTACATACCAGTTGCGTTGCTTCTGGGAGTATGGGTTCGAGTCACTTCTGGGGTGTGAGTTTTCAGTTGCATATGTCCTGGGGACCATTCAGGCTTGTTCGCATATATATATATATATATATATATATATATATATATATATATATATATATATATATTGTGACAATAATCTCTTTCAAGAAAGATTGAGCCTGCTCTTCCCTATATCAGTCACGTCATTCTACAAGTACAAGATGCTACATTCAAGATACGTCCACCAGTAGCACAAAACGTTTTGCCCAGGAAGCAAAGCGTACCCTGCACCACCCGTCACGCCGGCTCACCGCCCGTCGTCAACGAGCTAACTACCAATTCTCCGCCTGCCTGCTCCTGATTGGCTGGTGTATCGCCAACAGCACACCTGCACCTGCATTCACGCCCTCTACCTGAGTCGACGTCTGGGCCAGCTCAAGCCATCCTCCTCAGAATATTCCTGTGCTCTTAGAAGTTGACATCTCTCTCTGGTATACTAAGCCCTGGCTGTCGTATACTAAGGGAGGTAGCAGCTATAGCCAATATTCTCAGCACCTGATTATTATTGTATTGCACATTATTTTATTGTAAAGTAAATTTTCATATCTATTAATTATTCATGTTGTTTTGTTTGTTGACTTGTTTGTTTTGTTTGAATTTTACGTAAGCCAAGGGATTGTCTTTGTTCATATCTTGTTTTCTAAAGTAATTAAAATTTCATTGTTTATATTTTGTGTTTTGCGTGTCTTCCCATTACCTTACCACAGACAAACAGGCAAGCAGTCTCTTTTTTTTTGTAAGTGTGACAAGGCATTGACACCTGCCATTGGAGGACTGCCGAACATCAACACTCCAACACTTTACCGTCACATATATATATATATATATATATATATATATATATATATATATATATATATATATATATATATATATATATATATATATATGTCGTACCTAGTAGCCAGAACGCACTTCTCAGCCTATTATTCAAGGCCCGTTTTGCCTAATAAGCCAAGTTTTCATGAATTAATTGTTTTTCGACTACCTAACCTACCAAACCTAACCTAACCTAACTTTTTCGGCTACCTAACCTAACCTAACCTATAAAGATAGGTTAGGTTAGGTAGGGGTGGTTAGGTTTGGTCATATATCTACGTTAATTTTAACTCAAATAAAAAAAATTGACCTCATACATAATGAAATGGGTAGCTTTATCATTTAATAAGAAAAAAATTAGAGAAGATATATTAATTCAGGAAAACTTGGCCTATTAGGCAAATCGAGTCTTGCATAGTAGGCCGAGAAGTGCGTTCTGGCTACTAGGTACGACATATATATATATATGTCGTACCTAGTAGCCAGAACGCACTTCTCAGCCTACTATGCAAGGCCCGATTTGCCTAATAAGCAAAGTTTTCATGAAATAATATATTTTCTCTAATTTTTTCTTATGAAATGATAAAGCTACCCATTTCATTATGTATGAGGTCAATTTTTTTTATTGGAGTTAAAATTAACGTAGATATATGACCGAACTTAACCAACCCTACCTGACCTAACCTAACCTATCTTAATAGGTTAGGTTAGGTTAGGTGGCCGAAAAAGTTAGGTTAGGTTAGGTAGGTTAGGTAGTCGAAAAACAATTAATTCAAGAAAACTTCGCTTATTAGGCAAATCGGGCCTTGCATAGTAGGCTGAGAAGTGCGTTCTGGCTACTAGGTACGACATATATATATATATATATATATATATATATATATATATATATATATATATATATATATATTGTGACGGTAAAGTGTTGGAGTGTTGATGTTCGGCAGTATATATATATATATATATATATATATATATATATATATATATATATATATATATATATATATATATATATATATATATATATATATATGAAAGTGTTTTCTCTTTCACAATGAACGATATTGGCAGACTTGGTCAGTAGCTATGGGGGTGTAGATTTTTTGTCAGGCTGCTCGTCCTATCTAAAGTGTAACTGTATTCTTCCCCCGCAGGCAAAATACAATGATGAATCCCCGGCGCCAATACGTGAGCAAGTGATGAGGAAGACAGAACCGCCTAAAACTGAGGAACTGAAGCCCAATTTTGTTCCATATGTGGCTCCTTTCAGATTACTCCGAGAAGGCAGAGGTCAGTAGGTCAGCAGTCCTTTTACTCTTAACCACGAATTTGCTATTGAATCTCACATTGAAGTTGGTAGTCCTAGACCCTCCCAAGCTTTTAGTGTCTCTAGACCCCACAAAGCTCATTAGCCCTAGACCATCTCAAGCTTGCAGGAGCCACAAAAGCCAATTGAATGCAGGTGTTCTCGCACTACTTTATTTATTTGTTTGTATTTATTTATATATACAAGAGTTCTTACATTCTTGTACAGCTACTGGCATGCGTAGCGTTTTGGGCAAATCCTTAATCCTAATTTTCACTCACACACATATATCCCCAGGAAGCAGCCCATAGCAGCTGTCTAACTCCCAGGTACCTATTTACTGCTAGGTGAATAGGAGCATGAGGGCGAAAGAAACTCTGCTCAGTTGTTTCCGCCTCTGCCGGAGATCGAGCCCGGACCCTTAAGACTATGAATCCCAAGCGCTGTCCACTCAGCCGTCAGGCCCCGTATGTCACCAACACTATGTCAACAAGCTTTAGCTCTTACCTTGATTTTTCCATTCCTCAACCACAGCTGGCTTTAACTGATTCAGACAAGTCACTTCACGCAACGCCAACGTTCGTGTCCCATGGAGCACCACCATTTCCTGCCTTACGAATATTAATTTTGAAACACTGGGAACAAATCGTACACTTCTAACTAACAGAATCACGTCGTGTTGAGTGTTGACATGTCGTTAGACATGACCTGCAGCAAGAATTACAAATGTGACTTTTAAATGTCAGTGTATTCCTGCGGCTCCTGGCATTTCATTACTTCATTCACCAACAGCGAAAAGAGTGGCTATCATGTGCTTATAAAAATTATGAACATGAAATGAATGTCAGTCTTTGAGAATCATGTAAAAGTCATAAAAGCTGGTAACCTAAATAATAACAAGAGTAGCAGATAACATGGTTTAGACACATGGCGACAGCTTCCACAGTTCCTGTTACGGAATTCGATCGCGTTACTTCCTGCTTAGTCTACTAGGATGAAATATTAAGTTACTGCTCTCCAAATGTCAGCAGGGTACAGTTGAGAGTGGTTAGGTGCATGGTGGTAGATCAGAGAAGATAGTGCTATATCACAGTAGATTAGTAAAATGGTGCGCTTTCATGGTAGATTACTCAAGATAGTGGTGTATCACTGTAAAGCAGCGAATGCGGAAAGAGTGGTATGGGGTAATATAAACTTAACGAGTCGTAGTTCAAGGTTCATGTATGTGAAATAAAAGTTTGAAAGGGTAATGGTGGCGACTGGGATTACGTATTATTCGTGTGATGACAACCGGATGAAAAACGTTGTAATTTGGGTATATTAGATAATGAAATTTGTAAGATTTCTAGTCCTAACATTTGTTAATTAATGCTGGGTTGGACTTTAGCTCTAATGAGTTCTGTCTTTCAGCTTTCAAATGACTGGTCTTCAGGTCCCAAAACCTTTCGAAATCTTTCATATCTACATTTCAGGCCGTGTATGAAGTCTCCCTCTACTACGGCTCTTCCTATATTATTCAGTATTGCTGAAAGGAAAATAATTCCTCCAATTATCTCTGTGGCTTAGCTTAGTCGGGCTGCGTAGTTTAGAGACGCATATAATGTAATTCATTGTGTTGAGGGACAAGCGACAAGTGTGTGTGTGTGTGTGTGTGTATATATATATATATATATATATATATATATATATATATATATATATATATATATATATATTATATATATATATATATATATATATATATATATTTATATATATTTATATATATATATATATATATATATATATATATATATATATATATATATATATATATATTTATATATATTTATATATATATATATATATATATATATATATATATATATATATATTTATATATATATATATTTATATTTTGGTAGCAGTCTTTCCTGTAGACATATTTTATTAAATATGACCGAAAAAGTAAGATTAATAATTCTAACACGAATTTTCTCAATCTTTCGTACATTATGCTTCACTGTTGGAGGTAAATCAAAAATCATTCTCCAAAATTCATTTTTATTTCTAGTCTGACGCGACACGGGCGCGTTTCGTAAAACTTATTACATTTTCAAAGACTTCACAAATACACAACTGATTAGAACTTGCGTTTCCCTGATTTTATATCTACATTTGAGTGAGGTGGGAAGGGTGATGTGGCATTACATTTGAGTGAGGTGGGAAGGATGATGTGGCATTAGAGAATATTAATAGGGTATTAAAAGTATCAACACAAGACAGAACACGAAACAATGGATATTGAATAGAAGTGTTTGTAGAAAGCCTATTGGTCCATATTTCTTGATGCTTCTATATTGGAGCGGAGTCTTGAGGTGGGTAGAATATAGTTGTGCAATAATTGGCTGTTGATTGCTGGTGTTGACTTCTTGATGTGTAGTGCCTCGCAAACGTCAAGCCGCCTGCTATCGCTGTATCTATCGATGATTTCTGTGTTGTTTACTAGGATTTCTCTGGCGATGGTTTGGTTATGCGAAGAGATTATATGTTCCTTAATGGAGCCCTGTTGTTTATGCATCGTTAAACGCCTAGAAAGAGATGTTGTTGTCTTGCCTATATACTGGGTTTTTTGGAGCTTACAGTCCCCAAGTGGGCATTTGAAGGCATAGACGACGTTAGTCTCTTTTAAAGCGTTCTGTTTCGTGTCTGGAGAGTTTCTCATGAGTAGGCTGGCCGTTTTTCTGGTTTTATAGTAAATCGTCAGTTGTATCCTCTGATTTTTGTCTGTAGGGATAACGTTTCTATTAACAATATCTTTCAGGACCCTTTCCTCTGTTTTATGAGCTGTGGAAAAGAAGTTCCTGTAAAATAGTCTAATAGGGGGTATAGGTGTTGTGTTAGTTGTCTCTTCGGAGGTTGCATGGCTTTTCACTTTCCTTCTTATGATGTCTTCGATGAAACCATTGGAGAAGCCGTTATTGACTAGAACCTGCCTTACCCTACAGAGTTCTTCGTCGACTTGCTTCCATTCTGAGCTGTGGCTGAGAGCACGGTCGACGTATGCGTTAACAACACTCCTCTTGTACCTGTCAGGGCAGTCGCTGTTGGCATTTAGGCACATTCCTATGTTTGTTTCCTTTGTGTAGACTGCAGTGTGGAAACCTCCGCCCTTTTCCATGACTGTTACATCTAGAAAAGGCAGCTTCCCATCCTTTTCCGTCTCGTAAGTGAAACGCAGCACGGAACTCTGCTCAAATGCCTCCTTCAGCTCCTGCAGATGTCTGACATCAGGTACCTGTGTAAAAATGTCGTCAACATACCTGCAGTATATGGCCGGTTTCAAGTTCATGTCGACTAAGACTTTTTGCTCGATGGTACCCATGTAGAAGTTTGCAAACAGGACACCTAGGGGAGAACCCATAGCGACCCCATCTACTTGCTTATACATATGCCCATCCGGGCTCAAGAAGGGTGCCTCTTTAGTACAAGCTTGGAGTAGTTTCCTCAGAATACTTTCTGGCATGTCAAGAGGAGTACAGGCTGGATCACGATACACTCTGTCGGCTATCATTCCGATTGTCTCGGAATGATAGCCTTCTTTTCCACAGCTCATAAAACAGAGGAAAGGGTCCTGAAAGATATTGTTAATAGAAACGTTATCCCTACAGACAAAAATCAGAGGATACAACTGACGATTTACTATAAAACCAGAAAAACGGCCAGCCTACTCATGAGAAACTCTCCAGACACGAAACAGAACGCTTTAAAAGAGACTAACGTCGTCTATGCCTTCAAATGCCCACTTGGGGACTGTAAGCTCCAAAAAACCCAGTATATAGGCAAGACAACAACATCTCTTTCTAGGCGTTTAACGATGCATAAACAACAGGGCTCCATTAAGGAACATATAATCTCTTCCCATAACCAAACCATCGCCAGAGAAATCCTAGTAAACAACACAGAAATCATCGATAGATACAGCGATAGCAGGCGGCTTGACGTTTGCGAGGCACTACACATCAAGAAGTCAACACCAGCAATCAACAGCCAATTATTGCACAACTATATTCTACCCACCTCAAGACTCCGCTCCAATATAGAAGCATCAAGAAATATGGACCAATAGGCTTTCTACAAACACTTCTATTCAATATCCATTGTTTCGTGTTCTGTCTTGTGTTGATACTTTTAATTCCCTATTAATATTCTCTAATGCCACATCATCCTTCCCACCTCACTCAAATGTAATGCCACATCACCCTTCCCACCTCACTCAAATGTAGATATAAAATCAGGGAAACGCAAGTTCTAATCAGTTGTGTATTTGTGAAGTCTTTGAAAATGTAATAAGTTTTACGAAACGCGCCCGTGTCGCGTCAGACTAGAAATAAAAATGAATTTTGGAGAAGTGATTTTTGATTTACCTCCAACAGTGAAGCATAATGTACGAAAGATTGAGAAAATTCGTGTTAGAATTATTAATCTTACTTTTTCGGTCATATTTAATAAAATATATTTATATATATATATATATATATATATATATATATATATATATATATATATATATATATATATATATATATATATATAATATATATTCATATATATATATATATATATATTCATATATATATATATAATGTATATATGTATGTTAGACTTATATCGAGATCTCCCCCCCCCCCCCCAATGCCGACCTACTGGCTCCACCCTACCAAGGATGCAACCCCAAAACATACTAACTCCTAGGTACCTATTTATTGCTAAGTGAACGGGTGCATTATGTGATAGGAAACTCGCCCAACAGTTTCTGTCCCGCTCGGAATTGGAACCTGGAATTCTCGACTCTGCATTGTGAGTCGAGAACAAACCCGACTGTACTACCGGGATCCCTTCGCTTCTTTACGTCCCTTCCATGTTAAGTATAGCTTCTTGTTCATCCGGCCCGTCCATGCCAGTATTTTATATGTCGGGATCATCACCCCTTTTCTGTTTATGC